GTGTGTGTGTGTGTGTGTGTGTGATGTACACATGTATGTAAGTGTAAGTTCCCACGGAGATGAGAAGAAAGTATCAAATCCACTGAAGCTGGAGTTACAGAGGATGGGCTGCACCAAACTCAGGCCAGAAGAGTCACACACATTTTTAAGGGCTGAGATGTCTCTCCAGCCACCAGATGGAGAATTTTAGTGAATTTATTAGACTATAACATTTTTTTGTTGCTTACAAAACAAAAGTTAAAAATGAAGTTCAACTGTTCTACTTATGGTGGTGGATACAAGAACTGAACTTGAATACAGGACCGTTTCACAATTTATGCATATAGAAAATCATCCTGGCCAGGAGGTGGTGACCCAAACCTTTATTCCCAGCACTCGGGAGGCAGAGGCAGGTGCATCTTTGATTTGAGGCCAGCCTGGTCTACAGAACTAGTTTCAGAGGGGCCAAGGCTACACAGAGAAACCCTGAAAGAAAAAAAAAAAACAGAAAAAAAAAGAAAAGAAAAAAAAGGGGAAGGTCATAAAGTTTGGTAGCTAGGGATGTGTGGGAGGAATCAGGGTAGGGGTGAATGCTCAAAATATTTTGTATGAAATTCTCAGAAAGCTAATAAAATTATATTTAAGAAGGGAGGGAAGGAGAGAGGGAACCTTCAATAACCTGGTGCTGTCTCGTCAGCAATGTCCCTGCTCTCTCTGTCTTCACCTCATCAAGAACATCATTTGCAAGAGAACAGTGAGGTTTCTGGTGTTGTTTCTCTTTCTTCTTCTCTCTAAAACTCTTTTCCTCTCCATGGAACATTTACTCTATTTTTTTTTTACATAGGATGAAGTATTGCCTGGCTCTAGAAACAAAATAACAAAATAAGTCCAGCAAAGACTAAAACTAGATAGAGTTCTTGTTGCTGCATCTTTGTTTATTTATTGTAAAATAGAGATAGGCAAACTTTGTATGCTTGTAGCAATAGGTTGCAAAACCACTGGGTTATAATCAATATCAACCTACAATTAAGGCTCCCAGCCACCCAAAAACACAGCCCTTGGTAAGAGGAGAAAATGTCCCTTAACCCATTAAAAAGAACCTACAGGAAAAGTCTATCAAACACGAAAGTTGCTGGTCAAAATCAGAAGGTACCTCAGTACAATCTGGAGCTGCTGGCGTCACAGGCTTCCTAAGTAATGTAAAGGTCTCAAAGGTCTTTAACACTGAGAAGGCTTATTTCCTGAGCACACACACACGCACGCACTGCATTGCTGAATTTGAACCACACAAACAATTTGATGAGGAAAAAATGGGTCCAAAAGGAAACCATGGAATTTGAGAAGCAATAATGGTCAATTTGGAAATGTAAACTTTTAGGAATTTTGGAAATGTGGTTGAAGACATACCCATATTACAATTTTAATGCCTAGGGGAAATATTTCAGTTACTGTTTTGATTCAGCAAGTATCTGCTCATGTCCTGTGATCTGAAGTATCTCTGTTACTCATTATGGATATTTTCAAACAAATATAAATAGAAGTAGACAGGTAGGACCTAAGCTTTTATGGTATGAACTTTAACATGTAGTATGCATATAAATATATATGTTTATGTCCATTGCATTGTACTGCCCTCTTTTGCTGGGGTGACTCTGGTAATTAACCCAGATACACACACACTGGCATGAGGATGGGGTCTCATACAAGTTGGCCTCTATGTACTGTGTAATGAGGTTTGTAAATAGAGACTGCATGTTGGTTTCTTGGCCGCCCAGACCCAAATAATCACATACAGACTATATTAATCGCAACACCGGCTGATGACTCAGGGATATTCCAAGCTAACTCTTATATCTTAAATTAACCCATTTCTATTAATCTATGTATCTCCATGAGGTTGTGACCTATGGTACAGTTCCAACATCTTTCTCCATCCGCATCTATGCGGCGTCTCCCTGACTCCACCTTCTTTCGTCCTGCGTTCAATTTAGTTTTCCCACCTAGCTTTATTCTGTCCTGCCATAGTCCAAAGTAGCTCCTTTATTAACCAATGATAATAAAACATATTCATAGCGTGCAGAAGAGAATCCCACATCATCGGCTGACTTCTACGTAATGTAGAATGAGGCTGGCCTTGAACTCCTGATCTTCCGGTCTCCATTTCCTGAATTCTGAGATTACAGACATGAACCCCATACCCTTTTCAGTGTGGATCTCCAGGAAACAGCCGAAGCACACATCATGTCGTTATCTGATCTCACCATGTTAGCACTCCAGCACTAAAGTGAGTAGAGATTGTTCCTAGCTCCCTATCTTTCCTGCTCACTAACCGCCAATGCTGTATTTATGAAAAAATTCTTTACTTTTAGATATGCAGGGAAATAGCTTCAGTCTTACTTTGACACCACTCCTTTTGTCATTACAGGTCAATAATTTAATCAAATAACTTTCCACCCAGCACTTGAAATCAAGCGGATTTGTTTTTGACCAAAAGTGTGAGCTACTGAAAGCTTGAAGCAGGAGGTGTAACCTATTGGCTGCCGGCAGTGGTAGAAGGAGCTCCCAAATGAAGGACCGCTACAGAGGCAGCCTTTCATCCTGTCACTGAAGGGAATGTGCTAGAATCTTGGTAAGCGCAAAGCCCAAGAAGCATGGTCAAGAAATAAAAGACTAGAAAGAGATGTATTACTATAGTAGGCGTGGACAGACCAACACTGTTTCCAGAGCAATGCCCTCCTTAAACACAGGGAAGGATGGGGATTTCATGTAGGGAGCCTTACATATTCATTCAGGAAAACAGACTAGGGCTAGGGGTTAGGCACATTCCTGAGCATGCCCAGTTTAAGGTCATAGTTCAAGAAGGAGAGACGGCAGAGCTATCTGGGGATTTTCTTAGCTCTTGAATATCCAAAAGGTCAAATGGGCAGGAAAAACTGTGACCATGCTATGTTTTCATTATAAAGTTGGCAGGCAGGAATTCCGAGTGGGAACTCTGGGCTTGCAGAGCTTTCAGCATGAAGTTTTAGCTGTGGGGGAAGAGTGGATAGGAGGATGTTTGGAAGGTACCTGAACATAAGCATTTGACTTTAAATTTGCCTACCTGTTTATCCTAGCACGCCTTGTCACGCTGTGGGGTTCCTGGTTCTGTGCGGATGCAAAGCTTTTTGTCTTTGCTGTGAGTTCTGTATCCAGCGTAGCTCAGCTCAAGGCAGCGCTGCCTCTGGTAGATTTATCGTGTCCTCTTCATTTCTGTCTCTCCCTGCTTTCACTTGCTCTTGTGAGTGTAGCTGCTCAGATATGAGATATGCTTTTGGACATGCATGGAATTTTTCTAAGAATGACAGACTCTGAGCTAGGAGGACCTCTGGACACATCTGAAGGACAGCCCACAGGTCTGGAGAACAGAAGCTCTGAGATGGTGGTCAGTGGAGAGGAGCTTTGGTGAGACTGAAACATTCTTTCAGAAGCTTTTCACCTCCTTTTTTCTGGACGTGAATCCACATCAACACCATCGTTCCTGCTGCTTACACAGGCCCAGCTAGCTTGCTCTGGGTTCTAGCATGGCATTTCACGGGACAGTAAACAGGGACCTTGCTGAGTCTTTGTGGGAAAAGAATAGTTATAAATATCTGCATGAAGATATGGTTTACATACTTGTACAACAAAGGGAAGAATAGCCGTTTTCAAGGTCTATATGGGGTGTCTTTTTCTTCTCCTAGCTCTGGGAGGTTTTTCATTGCACCTAGCATGAATGCATTCAACAGGCTCAAGCGAGAGTCGGTCCAGCTCTTCATCCATGTGCTCTCCTTCCCTGGGGAGCCCCACTGGGAGGACTTTCATCCCATCTAAATTTTTTCAGAGATGTCCCTGTGTGTTCCCAAACTTTCTCAAGCCACTTTATCCAAAGCAAGAGGAGAGGTTAAATTGATGGGCAGCTTATCCACCAAGATTGGAAAGATTTAGCTATAGCAATATTAGAAGCTGGTCCTCAGTTACAATGGAGGACAAGGTGGACAGAGGAAGCGAGGGCCATAGAACAATGAACTAGAGCCAGAGGTGTTGATGTCCCCAAGACCAGTGTCTCAGTCAGTATTCTGATGAGCAAGAACAGTGTGAAGCTGATGATCACACCTTGGCCTATGTTGTCCAGCAGCCTTAAATACTTGGGACAAGGTTGAAAAATCAGGAAAGAGGGTTGAGTCATTTACTAAAATTATACAAGGCCCAGCAGGAGCCTTCACTTTCTTTTTTGGCAAAGATTGAGTTCAGCTTTAAATAGAATGATATCAGATCCAGTAACCAGACAAATATTAATTGAATCTTTGGCTTTTGAAAATGCTAATTCTGAATGCAAAAGTGAGATCACACTTACAATGCTACTTTGATAGCAGAAGTGATTTTTAAAAATTATAAGAAAAATCAAAATGTCAGATGTTTTAATCATGGTAAATAAGGCCACTTGAAAAGGATTGTAGGCAAAGCATTACTAGAAACAATACTTTTTCTTGACATAGTTCAAAAAGAAGGCCACAGCCCCCTTGAATACACAGAAGGTTTGGCTAAGTCTGGCATTAGATTAATAGATTTAGATCAATAAGAGACAGGCAAGGTAACCCTTTGCCATTGGGAAATGCTTTAGAGGGGCCTCTCACAGGACCCAGTATCAAATTTTGTTCAATCATTGCCTGACAACACTGGAGAAACTTGTCCACAGAGCAGTTAAAAGACTTAATGTCTCGCGTTAAAAACAGCACTACTCTGGATGTAATCAAGGACAGAACAGCTTTAGTAGATAAAAAATTCAGGAGAGAACATACAACAAATATTTTGATAAACTGTTATAAATGACCAAACACCAAAGCTTAAAATATGAATAAATGACTTTGAAACTGAAGTTTTGGTTCACATGAGGATAGATGTAACAACAAGTTCACCAAAATCTTGGCCTCCAGATTGGCTTTGTCAGGAGGTAAATGTTCAGCTTCTAGCAATTGAAACTTTATCTACATAAGATAAAGTATAGGATGGGTCAAATATATAGGAAAATTAAAGGCATATGTGACTAATATAAAGATGAATTTATTGGGACATTATTTGTTACAGCAATGGAAAACACAGATTAATCCTCCAATTTCATAAACAAACCATAAAATAAAGAATGCTCTGAGAAAAATCTTAAAAAGTGTTATCAGGAACAGTAAGAGGCCTTCAGGTTGCTCACAAGCAGAACACAAAGGCACCAACTACCCTACCTTTAAAATGGTTAGCTGACAACCCTGAGTGGATGGAACAATGGCCTTTGACCTCAGAAAAATTGCAGGCACTAGAGCAGCTGATACAGGAGCAGCTACATGGTAAACACACTGAGGAGTCGACCAGTCCTTGAAATTCTCCTAGAATGTCATTAAACAGAAATCTGGAAAGTGGAGAACAATAGCTTATCAGAGAGATATTAATAAAGTGGTCCAGCCAATGGGCACTTTACAGTGTGAAATTCTCTTGCCTTCCTTTTTACTTCAATGATGGTCTATTATAGTGATTGATTTAAAGAACTGTTTTTTACATCACACATTTTTGAGAGCAGGACAGAGAAAAATTTGCCTTCCCTTTGCCTATTTTTAATAACTCCCAGCCCGTTAAAAGATATCAGCGGAAAATTTCCTCCCCAAGGAATTTTAAATAGCTCCACCTTGTGTCAATGTTTTGTACAACAGTCATTAGAAATAATTCATGTACAGTGTATAATTTGCCATTATATGGATGATATCTTTCTAGCTGATTCAGATGCAGATATCTTAGAAAAGTGTTTGATGAAGTAAAGAGAATTTTGACTTGTTCAGAACTGCAAATTGCTCCTGAAAAAAATACAAACAGGAGGTTCTATTAATTTTTAGGATATAAGATAGGTTTACAGAAAATTCAATCACAGAAAATATAAATCAGGAAAGATAAATTACGAACTCTTAATGATTTTCAAAAATTACTGGGAGAAGAGGTGAGTGACCAGTCACCCGGCAGGACACCCCACTCTCTAGGCCCTCCATAGAAACGAAGAAGGACACTTTATACTCATAACAGGAACAATCCATCAAGATGAAGTCTCAATCCTGAACATCTATGCTCCAAATACAAGAGCACCCACATATGGAAAAGAAATATTACTAAAGCTTAAATTGTACATCATACCCCACACACTAATAGTAGGAGATTTCAACACCTCACTCTCCCCAATGAACAGGTCAACCAGACAGAAACCTAACAGAGAAATAAGAGAACTAACAGATATCAGGACTCAAATGGAATTAACAGACATCCACAGAACATTCCACCCAAACACGAAAGAATATAATCTTCTCTAAAATTTACCACATACTCTGAAACAAATCAAACCTCAACAGATATAAATAAAATTGGAATAACCCCCTGTATCTTACCAGATCACCAAGGTTTAAAATTAGAATTCAACAGCAACACTAATTTTAGAAAGTCCACGAACAAATGGAAATTAAACAGTGTTCTATTGAATCACCCCTGTGTCCAGGAAGAAGTAAATAAATTACAGATTTCCCAGAATTCAACAAAAATGAAGGCAAAATGTACCCAAACCTGTGGGACACTATGAAAGCAGTGCTAAGAGGAAAGTTCATAGCACTAAATGCCTACATAAAGTAGAGAAAGCTCACACTAGTGAATTAACAGCACACCTGAAAGCTCTAGAACAAAAGAAGCAGACTCACCCATGAGGAGTAGAAGACAAGAAATAATCAAATTGAGGGCTGAAATCAATAAAATAGAAACAAAGAAAATAATACAAAGACTCAATGAAACAAAGAGTTGTTGTTTTTTTTTTTAGAAAATCAACAAGATACACAAACCCTTATCCAAACTAATCAAAAGGCAGAAAGAGAACATCTAAATTAACAAAATCAGAAATGAAAAGGGGAAAATAACAACAGACACTGAGGAAATCCAGAGAATCATTAGATCAAACTACAAAAACCTATACTCCACAGCATTGGAAAATGCCAAGAAAATAGACAATTTTCTGGATAGGCACCACATATTAAAATTAAATCAAGACCAAGGGGACAATTTAAATAAACCTATAACCTGCAAGAAAATAGAAACTGTCATCAAAGCCTCCCAACCAACCAACCAAACAAACAAACAGAAAAACACCAGGGTCAGATGGTTTCAGTACAGAATTCTACCAGAACTTCAAAGAAAAACTAATACCTATACTCCTCAAAGTGTTACACATAATAGAAACAAAAGAAACATTGACAAACTCTTTTTTATGAGGCCACAGGCTACAGTTACCCTGATATCAAAACCACACAAAGACTCAATCAAGAAAGAGAATTACAGACCAATCTCACCATGAACATAGGTGCAAAAATACTCAATAACATACTGGCAATCCAAATCCAAGAACACATTAAAAAAAATCATCTACCATGATCAAGTCGGCTTATCCCAGAGATGCAGGGATGGTTCGACATATGAAGGTCTATCAATGTAATCCGCCATATAAATTGAAAGAAAAAACCATATGATCATCTCTTTAGATGTTGAAAAAGTGTGAGACAAAATCTAACACCCCTTCATGATAGAGAGATCAGGGATACAAGAAACATATCTAAACATAATAAAAGTAATATACAGAAAGCCAACATCAAAGCAATCCCCCTAAAATCAGGAACAAGACGGCTGTCCACTCTCTCCATAACTATTTAACATAGTTCTTGAAATTCTGGCTAGAGCAATAAGACAACAAGAAAATATCAAGGGAATTCAAATTGGAAAGGAAGAAGTCAAACTTTTGTTATTTGCAGAAGATATGATAGTACACATAAGTGACCCCAAAAACTCTAGTAGAGAACTTCTACAACTGAAAACTACCTTCAGTGATGTGACAGGATACGAGATCAACTAAAGAAAAGTCAGTAGCCCTCCTATATATAAATGATAAAGAAGCTGAGAGGGAAATCAGAGAAACATCACCCTTCACAATAGCCACAAATAACATAAAATATCTTGGGGGGAAACACTAACCAAAGAAGTGAAAGACCTATTTGACAAGAACTTTAATTCTTTGAGGAAAGAAATTGAAGAAGATACCAGAAAATGGAATGCTCTCCCATATTCTTGGATAGGTAGGATCAACATAATAAAAATGGCAGTCCTGCCAAGAGCAAACTATAGATTCAATGCAATCACGATCAAAACCTCAACACAATTCTTCACAGACATTGAAAGAATAATATTCAACTTCATATGGAAAAACAAAAAACCCATGATAGCCAACACAATCTTGTACAATAAAGGAACTTCCAGAGGTATCACCATCCCTGACATCAAGCTCTATTATACAGCTACAGTAATGAAAATAGCTTGGTATTGGCATAAAAACAGAGAGGTTGACCAATAAAATTGAATTGAAGACCTGGATATTAATACACATACCTATGAACACCTAATTTTTGACAAAGAAGCTAAAAATATACAATGGAAAAAAGAAAGCATCTTCAACAAATGATGCTGGCATAGCTGGATGTCAACATGCTAAAAAAAAAAAGTAAATAGATCCAGATCTATCCCTATGTACAAAACTCAAGTCCAAATGGATTAAAGACCTTAATATAAATCTGACCGCACTGAACCTGATAGAAGAGAAAGTAGGAAGTAGTCTTCAATACATAGGCACAGGAGACCACTTCCTAAATATAACACCAGTAGCACAAACACTGAGAGCAACAATAAATAAATGGAACCTCCTGAAACTGAGTAGTTTCTGTAAAGCAAAGGACACAGTCAGTAAGGCAAAAAGGCAGCCTACTGAATGGGAAAAGATCTTCACCAACAACCCCACATCAGACAAAGGACTGATCTCCAAAATATATCTAAAAAAAACTCAAGACATCTGACATCAAAATTCCAAATAACACAATTAAAAAATGGGGTACAGAACTAAACAAAGAATTCTCAACAAAAGAATCTCAAATGGCTGAAAGACACTTAAGGAAATGTTCAACATTCTTAGCCATCAGGGAAATGCAAATCAAAACAACTCTGAGATACCATCTTACACCAGTCAGAATGGCTAAAATCAAAAACACTAATGATAGCTTATGCTGGAGAGGATGTGGAGTAAGGGAAACAGTCCTCCATTGCTAGTGAGAATGAGAACTTATACAACCACTTTGGAAATCAGTATGGCAGTTTCTCAGGAATTGGGAGTCAACCTACCTCAGGACCTAGCAATATCACTCTTGAGCATTTATCCTAAAGATGCTCAATCATACTATAAAGACATTCGTTCACCTATGTTCATAGCAGCATTATTTGTAATAGCCAGAACTTGGAAACAACCTAGTGCCCCTCAACTGAAGAATGGATAAAGAAAATGTGATACATTCACACATTAGAGTACTACTCAGCAGTAAAAAAACAATGACATCTTGAAATTTGCATGCAAATGGATAGAACTAGAAAAACCATCCTGAATAAGGTAACCCAGACTCAGAAAGATGAACATGGTATGTACTCACTCATAAGTGGATACTAGCTGTAAAGCAAAGGATGTTGAGTCTATAGTTCATGATCCTAGAGAAGCTAAGTAACACATACATAGATCCACCTGGAAAGGGGAACAGACAAGATGGCCTGACAAAATTGTGAGCATGGGGGTGGGGGGAGTAGGGAGGGTGGAAGGGGAAAACAAGGAGAAAAGGTGAAAAGGGAGGAGAACTTGAGGGAATGGGATGGTTGAGGTGGAGAAAGGACAGAGATGAGACCAAGGAAAGAGGTATCTTGATTGAGGGAGCCATTATGGGACTATCAAGAAACCTGGCTCTAGAGAAATTCCCAGGAATCCACAAGGATGACCCCAGCTAAGACCCTAAGCTGTAGTGAGGGGCTGCGGGCAGGCCTGCTTGGATATTTGTATTTATTGTATATAATTGTGTAGGTTTGTACTTACTGTATATAATTTCGTAGTAGGCTTAGAACTCTCTTACTTAAACAAAAGGGGGAGGTGTTGTGGGAGTAACTTCCGCTGCCTCAACCAATAGTCGCTGAAGCACAAACCCACAGTGCAGCGGGGAGCGACTTCCGCTCCGTCAGCCAATAGCTGCTGAAATACCAGCCCACTGGGGCGTGGTATATTTCTCTTTTAAAAAGAGAAGCAGATCCAGATCAGGCCCTCTTTGTTCCGGTGCTTAGTCCCGGCTCCTGCTCCTTCCTTACGGTTTATGGTGTATGTAAGTTTTACCCCCCAAAATAAATAACCCCTTAAAACATAACTGGTGTGGGATTGATTCGCCGATACTAAGCAATAGAGGAGAGGGTGTCCAAACTGGCCTTGCCCTGTAGTCAGATTGATGAATATCTTAAATATCACCATAGAACCTTCATTCAGCTACTGATGGAAACAGAGACAGAGACCCACATCGGAGCACTGGACTGAGCTCCCAAAGTCCAATTGAAAAGTGGGAGGAGTGAGAATATGAGCAAAGAGGTCAAGACCATGATGGGGACACCCACTGAAGCAGTCTATCTGAGCTAATGGGAGCTCACCAACTCCAGCTGGACAGGGAAGGAAATAGGACAGGCCCAAACTAGTCCCTCTGAATGTGGGTGACAGTTGCATGGCTGGGGCAGACTGAGGGGCCACTCTCAGTGGCACCAGGATTTATCCCTACTGCATGTACTGGCTTTTTGGGAACCTATTGTCTTTGAACGGATACCTTGCTCAGCCTAGATATAGTAGGGAGGGCCTTGAACCTTCCCCAAAGCAATGTGCCTTAGTCTCTCTGAGGAGTGGGTGAGTTGGGAGGGGGGATTAGGTGGAGGGAAAAGGAGGAGGGGAGGGAGTGGGAACTGGAATTGGTATGTAAAATAAAAAAGATAGTTTGTTTTCTTTAAAAAAAATAATTAAAAAGTTACTGGGAGGTATTAACTGGCTATGACCAACAGTTGGATTAATAACTCAAGAACTAAGTCATTTATTACAACCCTTACAAGGTTATAAAATTATCAGCTGAAGCTGAGAGAGAATTGGCTTTGGTAGAAAAGAATTTTCAGGATGCATGTGTGGATTGCTTGGATCCACAGCTGACTGTATTCTGGTTATTTTACCTTCTACGCATTCTCCCACAGGAATTCTTATGCAAAGAGAAGATAATATCTTAGAATGCATATTTTTACCACACAGAGAATAAAATTTAAAAGCCAATGTAGACAAGGTTTCAGAATTCATTCTGAAAGGAAAATTGAGACTTCGGCAATTAGCAGGAATAAAACCAGCAGAAATTATGGTGCCTTTTACTAATGTGAAATCATAGGCAGAAAATGAACACTGGCAAGGAGTTTGCAGTAATTTTGGGGGGCGATATTAGCAACAAATATCCCAAAAGCAAGAGACCATCTTATGAAAAGATCCAATTGGATCTTCCCTCACATGGCGTCCCTACATTCTACAGGGATGCAAATACATCAGGAAAGGAAGGCGATAAGCCAGGAAAAGGAAGTGAAGTGGCTAAAAAGCCCTTATAATTCAGTTCAAAAATCAGAATTATAGGCTGTTCTCAAGGTGTTATTATATTTTCCAGAACCTCTTAAAATAGTCACTAACTCTCAAGATGCAGAAGGAGTTGGTTTCCATATTAAAACTGCTGAACTTATTCCAGATGATTCAGAATTAACTTTGTTATTTATTCAACTTTAACAATTAATCATCAACACTAATCATTCACTGTATATAACACATGTCAGATCCCAAACGAGACTACCAGGCCCTTGGGTGATACCTTTAGAATGGTAATGCAAGTTGTGACAGAAAGTGGGTTAGGGTTAAACTCTGAACTCACCAAGATAGGATAGATAACAGAGTAATTCCTCCAAATCTTCCAAATACAAATGGACTGGGCATTGTGAATATAATTCTTTTTTTGCTGTTCCTAAATTTTATTTATGAATTAATACAAGACATTCCAGACCAATGTGTCTTAGTCCTCCTCCCCCTCCTCTTCATCCTGGTTAATCTGGAAGTGACGCAGCTAATAGCTCGCTTGGTTGTCGGCGACAACATGCAAGCAGTCTCAGAGATTGTTCTTCAAGTACTTTTTTGGTGAGATATTTCAAGTACCTTTTGGAGAAAGGTACCTTGGGAGTGACAATGATCTTGTTCTTACTTCATTTGATGGCCCCAGCCCTTCTCCCAAGGTTCCCAGCTTTGCCGTTCACCTTGCTTCTCTCCTGGAGGAACTGCTCGGGGTTGGCAGCGTCCGTGATTCCGTCTTCTACAGGGCGGGTGCAATCAGGGTGAACTTCAAAACCTGCTTTGTTTTCTCCCCTTTGCCACAAGGTTTTTCATGGGTGTCATGGAGGCAGAGGAAACAGGAAGCATGATTATAATCCTTCCTTGGAAATTGTTCTTATTGTATATAACTTCCCTGTGTTAGAGGGAAAATCTTTCCTTTTTATTTAGACAAAAGGGGGAACGCTGTGGGATATTTGATCGTGCAACACTCCAAGACTGTTAATAAAATTTACCTTGAATCAGGGAGTAGAGTCAACAATTATCCCACTGGAATTAGCCATAGAGAGTTTGGAGGGTCCAGAATACAGAGGCATAGGAGAGAGTAGGGAGGGGCTTTGAAAGATTTGTGGGCCTTTCGTTCTGGGAAGCGTGGAGAGAGGGGGTCAGCTGGTCATTCCTCTGCTGCTTTCTTCATCTATCAAGTTTAATCCCAATATCTGACTCCCAAGTTTTTATTAATAATAGAGCAATTTAGACAAAAGCTTCTGCCCCCACTCTCCCAGAGCACCAGAGTTCGGTTCCTAGCACCCACTTCAAGAGGATCCCAAACTCCGGTTCTGGGAAATCCAACCCCCTCTTCTATTCCTATACCTTCTGATCTCCAGAACTGCCCTCCATCTCTTTCTCCAGAGTTATCAAATTCTTCCTTTTACGACAATTGCTCCCATGACCACGTGAATGCACATCTTTCCCTCTTAACAGACAATAGCAATGCTCTCTGGTCACATGGGCTTATACTGTTTGAAGACATTAAAAAAGTCTTCACTCACTCTTTCCAATTCATCTTGGAGTAATTCAAGGCCAATCCATACCAACCCAGGTTTCCCCTCTGCAACACCACAATCTACTTCTTCGAAGCTTGCCTGTGGACCTCTCATTACTAAGGTAAGTATACAGCCATAGCAACATTTCAGCCAACAATGAACCCGTGTCTCATGGCGGACCCGTAAGACTGTAACGGAGCTGAACAGCACCTTTCGCTGCCTGCTTTTAGAGTACCCTTTTATTTGTTCTCATGTGTTTAGATACCCCAGTACTAAAAACAGTGTCACAGGCTGGTGAGATGATTCAGCAGGCGGTGCAAATCTACTGACATCAGTTTGACACCCAGATCCCGTGATGGAAGGAGAGAACTGACTCTCACAAGTTTGAACACGAGACTCATCCTGTATGCTTCAACACGCATATCATACATACACATACATAAATAGAATACAAATTTGTATTATGATGCCCTACAATAGTCTGTATAATACATGTTGATGGATTTTCCGTCTAAAAGCAACAGGCTCTACCATAATTGCATCTGTGGTGGAGGCTACGCTTCTAGGGTTGGGTAAGCATTTTTGATCTTAAAATAACAGATCTCCTAGCTTTATGCTTCTCAGATGGGCCTCTCCCCTTCTGCCTCATCTCAGCAAGTAATCCCTCCCTGTAGCCAGACTGGCTGTGCTGGTGAGTTTTATGTCAACTTGACACAAGCTAAAGTCGTCAAGAGAGGAAGGTATCTCAATTAAGAAAATGCCTCCACAGGATCAGGCTGTAGGCAAGCCTGTGGGGCATTTTCTTAATTAGTGATTGATGGGAGAAGGCCCGGCCCAGACTGGGTGGTGCCATCCCTGGGTTGGTGGTCCTGAGGTCTATAAGAAAGCAGGGTGATCAAGCCATGGGGAGCAACCCAGTCAGCAGCACTCTCCATAACCTCTGTCTATATCAGCTCCTGCCCCCCCCCCAGGTTCCTGCCATGCTTGAGTTCCTGTCCTGGCTTCCTCAGTGATGGCCAATGAGGCGAAGCATAAGCCAAACTAACCCTTTCCTCCCCAAGCTGCTTTGGTCATAATGCTTCATCACAGCATGGTAACCTTAACTAAGACAGACGCATTCTAAAATCTTTGTTCTTATGACCGATGTCTTCTCTCTACCCCTCTCCTCTTAGCCCATTACTGAAAGTTTCTTCATGCAAACTATTTCTTGACACTGTCCTTCCCTCTCCTGCCATGGCAAAAACTAGACCGCCATCTTTCTCTTTTCTTTCCTTCCTTTCTCATCTCACGTTGTAAGCCCAGACTGGCTCAAACTTGTGATCCTCCTGCCCGTGGTTCTGCCTCTCCCTAAACCATGGCAGGTTGCATCACAGCGGTGACTCAGAGTATGAGAAGCTCTATTCAATGCCCATGGTAACCTAGGGTAGCTTTCAAACATAAAGAGATCCTGGGTGGTGGCGGTGGAGGGTGGTTGCAGGTTCTTACTGTAAAGCACAGACTGGCCTTGAACTGTAATCCTCCTGCCTCAGCTTTCCAAGTGTTGATACTACAGTTGTGTACACCTCACCTGGCCTCCGCGAAATCCCTGCACACCAGAGCACCCCCGGAGATGGCTGAGGTGTAGAGGGGGGGGGGAGGGGGGGGGGGGGGGGGGGGGGGAGTGGGGAGGGGTGGAGGTTGTTCTTTCTCCTACCTCAGTCACAGTCACCAGAAGCCACTTTTCCATTGCTCTGCAGGCAGAAATGAGAGCGTGACGCAGGCACAGCCCTATTTATAGTTCGGAAACTAACATATCATAAACACAGCACTTAGTACCTATGTTTCCGAAGGAGCCCCATGCCCTTCCCTAAGCCACAGCAGGCTGTGTCCAGCCCTGACTCAGCACAATCAACACTGACCAGACCCATGGCAGCCAAAGCTAGCTTTACATCACCTTTAAATGGTACAAGATCCATCAATGATCCACACTGCGGAGCCCATGGCTTCTCTTGTTTGCAAATGTTTGAGAGGGAGCAAAGTGCAGTGCCCGGCTGGCTGGACGCGGGTACTCTTCTGCTTTGTCTCTTTTCATCACGATCAATCTGCTATCCCACTGATAAACTACCATAAACCCAGGACAAACGGAGGAGCTGCCCTCAAGGAACTGTCTGTCTGTTGTCTTTGCTACAGAACCGCGGAGAGGCAACCTGGCAGCGGGGAGGAGCAGATATCCATCGCTAGGTTATCGACTTGTCTCGGCAGCACTTTTGCCTTCGATTTTCCTGACCCTGGCAGGACAGCCCGTGAGTCCAGACAATGGAGCTTTCTGTGATGGGCTCTCTGTAAGTCTATGGAACGACTGATGAGGTTCTCAGACCCCTTTCTACAAAACGAGGAATCGAGGTAACTGAGCTAAGTGACCCTCAAAGTGTAAAAAGCCTCGCCTGCCATTAATTCTCAACAAAATGATAGTGAGTTCCTATAGCTTTCCAGTTCCTCCAGAGTGCTGTGTGCTTCGCGTTTATGTGTTGCTGGGCTTGGTGCTCACTCTCCCATTAAATACGCGTATCTGTCTTCCTCAGTAAAAAAAATTTAACTGCGTGAGACTGGGACGCTAGAAAATCGGAAGAGCTGGGGTTGGAAGCGAGTAATCAGTCTTCTCAGCCTCAGCTCTTCACGTTTTCTGCTTTCCTCGCTCTGCAGGGTTCTGGTCCCGTCCCTTCTTCTCTGAGCAGGGGCAGGGCAGCCTCAGCTAGAAGCCAGGGTCTCACTGGTGTGTGGCCGCCACCTACTGGCAAAGTTGTGCAACTGCGAGAGTGGACACGTGTGGGCCGCCAGAGGCAGCGAAGTTCCTCAGCGAGCCGTGCACAGGTGTCGGGTTCCTTGCTCTCCTCACCTACACACACCTAGGCAAGGCCAGAAGAGGTCTGACGCATGGTAGGAGGAAAAAAAAACCGCTCAGAAAAAGGAGAAGGAGAATGGGTGGCAAAAGGAGACGGAGTCTGACATTATTTAAAGTCCAGGTGCGCAATCACCCACAGTTTACAGAGACAGCACCGCTCTCCACAATTACGCAGTATTGTGAAAGCCGCCCTCCCCTGAGAGGGTGTGAAAGTCGCACCCAAAGCCTGCCACACACTTGCTAGCCCTTAACTGTCAGTGCTCTGGGATTCCCAAGCAAAGTCACGGCAGACATGATGTCTAAATGATTCTGGAACAACCGGAAGATGTTTTGTTTTTCCTGTAACAACGCAAGGGACACTAAAAGGGTGTGCTTGCATAGTTAATAAGCGAATCTTCTGCAAGCCATGTTAGGATAACTGGGATAAAGAGTGCAGGGGCCAACGAGATGCCTGGGTATCCCGGTAAGGACGCTTGCCATCCAGCCTTATGACTCTTGGGATCCTCACAGTGGAAGGCGAAAAACGATTCCTACATGTTGTCCTCTGACCTCTACACACACACTATGGGATGCACTCCTCTCCGAATAAAAAAAAAAAATGTAATAATTTTTTAGAAATTTAAAAACCTGGAAATATGAAGAGTAAATGACAATGCTTTACCATGGATAAGAAGATGGAAAGGCCAAGCCAGGTGTGTGGGGGGTGGGGTGGGTGCCGCAGATCTTTAATCCCAGCACACTGGGAGGCTGAGGTGGGCGGGTCTCTATGAGTTAAGAGGCCAGCCTGTTCTACAAAACAAGTTCCAGAACAGCCAGGGCTACACAGAGAAAATGTCTCGAGAAACAAAAAAACAAAACAAAACAAACAAAACAAAACCAAAAAAAGTGGAAAAGTCCAGTAACCAGCCTCCCTTTACACCATAATCAGCCACACCTTAGTGACACCAGAGTGTCTGCTTCTAGAACGAGAAGAGGGGCCTGAGCCTGGAGTCTCTCAGCCAGCACCCCCTGTAGTCTCTAGGAACCTGCCGAGTCTTGACCAACCTTCAGTCTCACATTCGTGCTACTTTGAAAGCTGATGTGGCTGAATCTGTACATTCGCTCTCTGGGTCACTCAGATTCAGGCCCGGTGACCCTTGACAGTCTCATGCGTACCCTCCTGTAAGCCTCCCAGCCTTTGCTCTGTGTGTCTTTCTGCCCCACAGCCCTGGGATGGTTTATCTCAGAACAACCACTGCCTCTGGTCAATACAAACAAACACAGATGACAGTCAAGTTGTTGGGGCTCCAGAATTTCTACCCTGTGGGGCTTCGGGACAACAATTTGGTTGAAAAGGAGCTGGAGGGCTGCCCTATGGCCCCGTTTGCAACTTGAGCTACTCTACCCAAATGCCACCACTGGTTTCTAATGAGAGGGAGTAGAAAGGGTGTGGGTTTGGGTGGGTGGGGAGATGGGGAAGGAGCTTGGAGGAGTTGGTAGAGGAAAACCATAATCAGAATATTTTGTATGAAAAAAATATTTTCTCAGTTAAAAAAAAACACTAAAAAACAAAAAACAAAGCCAGGTGGTGTGGTGCATGCCTTTAATCCCAGCAGAGCTAGTTCCAGGACAGGCTCCAAAGCTACAGAGAAACCCTGTCTCAAAAAAAAAAAAAAAAGAAAAGAAAAGAAAAAAAAAGAAAAAAGAAACGAAACTAAAAACCACCCTGACAAGAAGCAGCTTGGAGAGGAAAGTTTTCTGCTCACAACTGCAGCTCAGAGCCCCTCATTACAGGATGCAAAGGCAGGAACTCAGGGGCAGGGTCTGAAAGCAGGGTGGGTGCTGCTCTCCACAGCTTTACCTCCAACGGAGGAACTCACTTCACAACCAAAGCAGCGCGGCAGGGGCTGCAGTGGATGCTGCCTGCTGCCTGGCAGTCAGGCTCCTAGGCTAGGCCTCACTTCCTCCTTCCCCCCCCCCCCCCCCCCCGCACTCTAAACCCTCCCCATACGTTACCTGATTCTCTTTCAAATCCATGGCCTCTTTAAAAATTGTTGCTGCGTGCGTGCGTGCGTGCGTGTGTGTGTGTGTGTGTGTGTGTGTGTGTGTATGCTTTGTGTGGTGGTTTGAATGGGAATGGCCCCCCCATAAACTCCTATATTTGCATGCTTAGACCCATTTGGTAAAGAATTAGGAGGTGTGGTCTTGTTGGAGGAGGTGTATCAGTGGGGTTGAGCTTCGAGGTTTCAAAAGCCCACACCAGGCTCCAGGCTCCAGGTCTGCATGTCTGACTGTCCCTCTGTCTCCGTCTCTCTGTCTCTGTCTTTGTCTCTGTCTCTTACCCCCCCCCGTCTCTCTGTCTCTCTGTCTCTCCCCGCCTGTTGGTTGCAGATCAGGATGTGAACCTCTCAGCCACTGGTCAAGTGCCACGCTTATCTGTTTCTTGCTGTGATCATGAACTAGGGAGCTGTCTCGTCAAGAGTCTCTTCCCAGCAATAGAACCCTCCGTGTGTGCATTGTTATCACAGGTGGGAAACTTCCATTTAAACTTTAGATGCATATTTACACTCAGATATAGGTGCAACATAGGTATTTTCTGGTAGTTGGTTAATAGTATGGTTCCTTTTTGACATTTTTCAGACATCCTTATTTTTATCCCTCTCTCTCTCTCTCTCTCTCTCTCTCTCTCTCTCTCTCTCTCTCTCTCTCTCTCGTTTGTGTCTTCCTCCTTAGCCACAGTTCTCATCCTGAGCAAGGAGGTGGGAGGAGAAGCTTTCACCGTTCCTCCACTGAGCTTGACGACATTTTCTGCTGGAAGACAGGAGACAGAGTTAATCCACCCTCACAGAGGCGAGCAGATGCACCTGAGAGCGATGGGTGGGGGACCTGGAAGGGACAGGAGAGACCGAAAAGACAGCCTTCCGCTTAAACCACAGCTTGGGCTCATGTGGGTTCTACGGAGCACCCAGCACTGTTTGTGCTTGTTTACTTGAGACAAGGTCTCATGTAGCCCAGGCTGTCCCCAAACTCACTAAGGACCAAAGGATGACAGTAATCCTCCGTCCTTCCTGCCACCACTTCCCGACCCCTAGAAAACCAGGCATACACTACCATGTGTCATTTTAGGACATGCTAAGGATCTAAACCTTCATGCATGCCAGGCAAGTAGTGAGCAACTGAGCAATATCTGCAGCATAGCTGACAACTGGTGAGTGTGTGTGTGTGTGCGCATGCGTGAGTGTGTGTGTATCTACACATGTATGAATATGTGTGTTTTATGCAGATGTATACAGAGCAGTTACCTGTATGTGGGAACATGGAGTTCAGAAATCTTCTTCTGGTGTCTTTCTCTAACATCCACCACCTTGTTTTTAGGGGTGGGGTCTCCCTCTGAACCCGAAACTCAGTTTTGGTGATACTTGTTGGCCAATGAGTCCTTGAAGGTCCGTGACAATTTGTCCTCACAGAAAGTATTACATTTTGAGATCTAGGTGGAACATTGAGTCTCTGTGAAATAATTGAGAACATGATGGTTTTAGTAGGGGATCATCTACAGTCCTAGAGTTCATTGACATTCACCCTGATTTAGAAAGATGTCGGAACAGAACGTTTGACAGGTGCTCTATGGTAGAGATGTATGATGCTACCTAGTATAAACATTTACTTTGAATGATGTTTAACTTCCTAAAGTCAGAACATCTCTCAAGGCAAGCTAGGGAGGCCTTGTATAGATCAACAGGTCAGGACCAATACACACCGCAGTTCACACCATGTCTCCATGCGTGTAAGGAGGTAGGGGTACGGCATATGGTTCTGGAAGAATCTTGTTCAGCAAGAGCTGATGAAAACTTAACCAATCATGATAAAAGATCCTAGAGAAGCATTCTAGAATGCACTGTGAGGGCCAAAAAAGTTAAGCTTGGCTCCGTATTAAGAAATGGCTAAAGAGATAACCTGGTCAGATAACTAGTGTGGTGTTTTAAAAGAAATGCCCACCCCCCATAGAGCGGCACTAGTAGGAGGTGTGGCCTTGTTGCAGTACGTGTGGTCTTTGTAGAGAGTGTGTCACTGTGGAGGTGGCTTTGAGGTCTCATATGCTCAAGCCACAGCCAGTAAGACAGACCACTTCCTGTTGCATCTGAGTCAAGAAGAAAGAACTCCAAGGCCCAGCACCATGGCCGCCTGCATGCTGCCTTCCTTCCCACCATGAGATAATGAAGTAAACCTGTGAACTATAAGGGAGCCCCCACAATCAAATGTTGTCTTTATAAGAGTTGCCGTGGTCATGGTGTCTCTTCACATCAATAGGAGCCCTAAGACAGAGGTAGACACCAGGAGTGGGGTATTGCTGTGGTAGGCCTGGCCAAACATAGACCTTAGGACTATGGATTTAACAAGCAGTTGAACAGTTTAGGTGCTGCTCAATGCCTGCCTGCCTTGCTTGCCTTGCCTGCCTTGCCTGCCTTGCCTGCCTTGCCTGCCTTGCCTG